CTGGTCCCTTGCTCGTTTCCTTTTAGCTCTTGACTTGAGTGTACTTTTCAGTCCCTGCACTCTCTCATCCAGCTCTGTGGCTGCTTCCTGCCTCCTGTGCCTGCAGAGGGGTCCCGGAGAAAGGCCACTTCCAATGGTGACCATTCATTGGCACTCATGCTGGCATCAGTGTAGTACTTTTTTTTTTTTCTTTCTTCCTATACTGAAAATTGAATTCTGGGCCTTGCACCTGGCATTGAATTACATCTACAACAACCACCCCCTCATTTGTTTTTTTCCAATTTTGAGACAGGGTCTCATTAATTTGCCCGAGCTGGCCTTGAACTTGTGATCCTCCTGCCTCAGCCTCCAGAGTAGCTAGCTAGTATTTATATGTGTGCACCACTGTACCCAGTGTTTTTTATGGATGTTTTGGATCTCTTCTTTATAACAACCCTTGGCAAAATGGTGACTAGCCTGACTGAAAAATGAGGAAACAGGCTCAGAAATGACCTGCCCAAAGTCACACAGATATAAAGTGGCAGAGCAAGACATGTCCCTATTGATTCTAAAACCTGTGCTCTTACTGCCATGATACACTGTTTTTAGAAAGGAACCTTTCAGAGCTGGAGAATTTAGTTCAGTGATGCTGCTGCCTTGCAAGTACAAGGTCCTGAATTCAATCCCTGGTACCAAAAAAAAAAAAAAAGAAAAAAGAAGGAAGGGACCTTTCAGTTCAGCCAGGTGTGGTGGCACATACCTGTAATGATAGCACTTAGGAGGCTGAGGCAGGAAGATCTCTTGAGTTCAAGGCCAGCCTGAACTGCATAGCAAGACCTTGTCTTAAAAAAAAACAAAAAAAACCTTTTAAGATATTGCACAATGCTGATGGCTGATGAATCTGTGGTTACATAGAGATTTATTATTTCCTTTCACAAGTAACATTTTCAGATTTAGTGATATAAGAATATATCAACATATACATAAATATTTTTTTAAAATTATGTGGGGCAGCCAGGGATTTAGCTCTGTGGTTCAGTGGCCTGCCTTGCAAGCGCAAGGACTCGAGTTCAATCCCTGGTACCAAAAAAAAAAAAAAAAAAAAAATCCCCCCCCCAAAATTAAAAATAAATAAAAAAATTTGGGCCAGGGATTTAGCTCAGTGGTTTCGGTGCCTGCCTTGTAGCGTAAGGTCCTCAGTTTGATCCCTGATATCAAAAAAATAACAAAATAAAAATTTTGAAAGTCCTCTCCACAAGGCTGTATGAGTTTTTACTCACCAATCTTGTATTTTAATAAGACTTTGCAATGTGCTAGAACCCTGGAAGCAGGTGGGCTATAAATAATAAATTAGTGTCTTTTTAAAAAAGCCCTCAGCCAGGGAGAGAAGTGACTTGGCTGTTAGAGAAATGACTGGCTTTCGAGTCCCAGCTCACAGGGTGTGCCAGCCCTCTGCATGTTTCAGGGAGGCTGTAGAGAGGACTGTGTTCCCAGTCTCACAAAAACCCTCTCGTGTGCTTACTTTGGCTGCTGCAACTCTGGGCTCCAACTGCCTGGCCTGATTTAAGGCAGAGCACCTAGGAGTGCGGTGAAAACCAGCCTCTGTCAGTTCTCACAGTAGCTGGAGGAACTCAGAGTATCCAAGTGGGAAGGCCAGCTTTTGTGTTCCAGGCTTCCCATGCAAGCCCTGGGAAACTTTGGTGTTAATTATTTAATGCATTTCTCTTATTTTTCTTCTTCCCCCAAATGGGGTGTGTGTGTGTGTGTGTGTGTGTGTGTGGACTGAACCTAGTGCTTTTGCAATGAACTACATCTCTACCCCTTTTAAAATTTTGAGACAAAATCTCAATAAGTTGCCCAGGCTAGGATTAAACTTGTCATCCTGCCTCAGCTTCCCAGAGTGCTAGGATTACAGACTCACAGCAATCCTCCTGCCTCAGCCTCCTGAGGGCTGGGTTTACAGGCATGCATCATGCCCAGTCCAAACCCAGGACATTCTTGTGCATGCTAAGTAAGCAAGCACTCAACCACTGAGCTACACACCTAGTCCTGAGGTTACTTTTACATTTCAAGAGGAAATTAGTGTATTTTAGCATAGAGCCTGCCTCCCAGACACAGACTTTACGATGTTTTCTTTTTTAAAAAAAGTATACACGTTGCGCATAGTGGCACACACATGTCCAGCACTCGGGAGGCTGAGGAAGGGGACTGCTGAGAGTTGGAGGCCAGTGTAGGATAAAGAGTGAGTTCAAGCCCAGCCTGGACTACCTAGGGAGACCATCTCAACCTCACCGCCATACAAGCTGCCTATGATTATGTGCTTGTGATAAAACAATGTAAAAGTAGCTCTACGTATACACTGCTTTTTACCTCCCTCTAATACTCATTCTAATCATAATCAAAGTTAACATTTTAATATACAGGTTTCTTTATAATCACAGAAACACACCTGATATATTTTATTTTTTAAATAAGTAGGATTCTGTGCCTTGCTTTCCCCCTCTCATATTTTAGACATGGTCTTGCTATGTAGTTCAGGCTGTCCTTGAACTCACCATGTAGCCCATGCTGGCCTCAAACTTGACAGCAATTCTCCTGCCTCAGCCTCCCAAGTGCTGGGATTACAGGTGTGCACCACCATACCTAACTTCCCCGCTCAATTTATCTTTAAAATCTTTCCATACTAGTAAATATAGCTCAAGCTCAGTCTTTTTAACAGCTGTACAACATGGACTCAACTATAATTTACAATAATTTGTCAGTGCTACAAATGTTCTCAGGATAAGCACCTTTGTATATCATGCAGGCTAAATTCCTGGAAGTGGAATTGCAGGTGAAGGAGTTAATACACTTGTCATGGCCCCTAGAAAGAACAGAACTGGGACCCAGGTAATTCTAGTCTTGGTGCCCTGACAACAAAGGTTCAGCGAGCAAGTTTTTGGGGACTGCATACCAAACTATCTTGGCAATCACAAATACCATGTTAAAAGTTCTGGAAATTCTTCAGTAACTACTCACTGTTGAGTGGTTTAAAACGTTGTTTGCAAAAGGAAAGACTTTTTTTTTTTACTCATTTAAGGAACACTATGATAAGTGCCACAGGATGCCAGTCTCTGAGAGGCAGGACAGCTCTGAGAGGAACTTGGCTACATAAGGTTCTACCTAACTGGGAAGCTGGGGTGGAGTCAGGTTTGGACTGTGAGGAACACTTCAAGGCCCGGCAGCCCCTCTTAACCCCCTCCCAGCAGGTGAGAAGGATCCAGCAAATCCCTGCCTGGCAGGTTTTGAGGCTGACCAGGCCGAGGGGCTGGGATTTCACTCTGGCCTAAGACTAGCTAAGCGGTAACATCAGATCCAGGCCTCCAACACAGGAACCCTCAGGAATCCCAAAGGAAGGAGCGGTAAGAGAGCAGCCTTTCCCTCTCTGGCCTCCTCCACTGGGTGACCTTGCGCTTGCGAGGCAGGTACATACAGCACCCCTGAGCTAAATCCCCAGTCCTCGTGGTTAACTTTTGAGCCCCAACATAAATGTCACTTCTGTGAACCCCCACCCCCTAATCGGCCCAGAATAAACCACTCCCTGTGCTCTAGCACCTTCACCGCACCGCTCAGCAGTCAGGGAGTCAGTCTGTCTTCCAGCCCTACTTGCTGGCCTGTCATAATGAACTGCGCACTTCAGTCTTCCCGATAAAGTGGGAGTTCCTACGCGGAGGGTGGGGGGTACTGTTCAGAATTTCACTCATTCATTCCTTATCGAGCACCGTTTGGCAGTACTACAGTGGTGAACAGGGCAGACCCCAACTGCCTTCATCCTAAAATTCCCTACAGTCTAGCGTGAGGTCTAGCCCAGGACCTGGCACAGCGGGGCTTCGTTCCAGCCCTCTAGCTGGAAAGCTCGCCTTGAGGCTGGCTGCCTTTGCACAGCAAGCACGGTGTTCACTTGTATTCTGTGCAAAATATATTAAACATTTTTCAAGATGTTTTTCCAGGTTATATGACAGAAATTCATTCGACTGTAAGATACGTATTTCAAACGTGTAGGGTGACACTGGGAGCCTGAGGGAGAGTGTGGCGGTCCCCCGGCCACTCCCCCGGGCTCGCCACCTGGCAGGACCCAAGCTGAAGAAAGAACCTTCCGGCGGTTCCCGAAGGCGCCGGCGGCTCCCGAAGGCTCCGCCCCCAGGTGGCGCGCGGCCCCGCCCCGCTCTCCATAGTTACGG